TTCTATCAGATTCCATCTTCAGTATACTAAAGCAGAATAAAATGAATTTACATCAACCTATACTATCAAATTTCTCTATCCTCTGCAAGTCTGACCTGGAATTATTGATCAAAGAAACCTTCCACATCAAACAGCACTCTCCAACACTGAACAACATATTGTTGATATGTTCGTATTACTGATTTTACCTTTTTTTTTCTTTTTCTTGCTGTAGTTTCTCCCCATGATTACTGTTTATTGTTTTATTTGTTTAATTATCGTTATATTTAGCAATTGTACTTTGACAATGTATAAAGACTTATGTAAATTCATTTTATTCTACTTTAGATACTGAAGATGGAATCTGATAGAATTTCGAAACGTTTATCCATGTCCCCTTTTTGTCAATAAACAATGTTGTATATTATAAGTGTCGTAATTTTGTTTATTATAACTTGTTTTGCTTCACCTGATGCTCTTAGTCTGAATATATATGTTTTTTTGTAATTTCAACCAACCTGAGATGTTTGTTGCCTCTTCTGTCCCATCTAAAACACTTTTTATGTCTTTCTCTAGTCCACCATAAACAATAGGATAGTGTTCTTTAAGGTATAGATTTCAGAGCTACCATTACCTCTAAGCCTATGTTTGTTGCAATATTTGTCCTCTCTCATACATTTTCTCTTTCCTCAGGCTTAGTGTTTGCTGTAGCTATAGCCACATCTGTAAATTTACTTTTATTTATTATTAACAATGTTGATTGACCTAAAATCCTGTAGAAGCTGCACCAATTTGTAATAAGCACTATCATGAGACAGTACTGTGCTACATATACTATTTATTTAATACTAAGATTATGCAGTCAGTGGCATTATCATACAGATCATGAACTTGAGGAGGTTTAAGTGAAATAAACAATTGAGACTGAGACCTTTGGATACTGTAACAATACACATTAATTCCTTGATTATTACACTACTAAGTGTCATTATTATTAACTCATCACTTATTATTTTGTAACATAAAACATTCAACGATGTCAACAAGTTTTTAAGTTCAGTATTATATTGAAATAACAGTTTCAAAGATGAAAAAGGAACTTGTTATAAAGGCACGGTTTGACAGGGCTACACTTGGCTGACTGGCCGGTAAGCTTTTAGGCAGATTAGATAGATAGATTTGATTTTCAATTGGATGATGTATCTTACATTATAAGTTGGTCAACTAGTATCATGCAAATGACTTTGTTCATTCTTACCTACTGATGTCCAAGATATGAAATCTGATACATTACAAACTGTTTTAAGTCTCGTGATTCTCCTTTTATATATCGATCCTTGTATGCTGCAATTCTTGGAATCGACTTAAGCAACGTTCTCTGTTCCGAAAAAATTATGCAACAGAAAACTAATTTTTTATGTGCTAACACTAAATGAAAGTATAGTCCAATTATAAACATTCTGCCTGATGTAGCATTGCTTATGTGCTTTTAATTAAGTCTACTTACTAACTTCAAGCATTACTTTAAAGTTATTTAAATTATTTTCACTTTTAAACCTTCCCTATCTTGATTCAAGGGTTTTCGTAGCAACCAGTTAATAATGCAGCTCAAACATCTCAGGCACAATTCCCCTTGTCTGTTCCAGTCTAAGCTCAATAACAGACAAACAGCCTGTAAGGAATAGTTATAATGGTTAAAAGATCAAAGATTTCATAACAAACGTCCACAATAAACTTTGTAAATAAACTTATTATTTGTTGGAAACCAGTAACAAAACATCTGGTAGTCTAGAAAGAAAAAAAAAGATAGTATCTTACCAATGTTTTCTTTCTTGTGAACAAAACTTAGGAAAGAAGTAATCAATCTTTTATTACAAAGTATTAACAACTTTATTGAATATTCATATGTTAATGAAAAAAATGTAACACAACATAAGGTTTAATCATAAGTGTAAAAGTGAAAATAATTTCACTAGACAATCATGCATTAATAGAAAGATGGCAATAGTTCTTGTTGTGTCTGAGATATTTAAATTGTGTTGTTAACTGGTTATTATGGAACTTGATTCAAGACATGAAAGGTGTGTTGTGTCAGATGTTTAAATTGCATTGTTAACTGGTTACTATGGGAACTTGAGTCAAGACATGGAAGGTATGTTGTGTCAGATGTCTAAATTGTATTGTTAACTGGTTACTATGGGAACTTGATTCAAGACATGGAAGGTGTGTTGTGTCAGATGTTTAAATTGTATTGTTAACTGGTTACTATGGGAACTTGAGTCAAGACATGGAAGGTATGTTGTGTCAGATGTTTAAATTGTATTGTTATCTGGTTACTATGGAAACCATTGAATCAGAATATGGAATATATGTTCTGCCTTGAATTGTTTTTTACAATTGAATTAGAAACTTGAAAATTCTATTCTCTTTCAAAAGTAATTCCTTTTAATAATCATAAAAATAAAGTTACTGCGCACTTGATAATATTGATGCTGGGATTTTTATCAAGCATTCTCAACTGTTGCCACGAATAAAACACTTTTTTATATATCTCCACAATATTGTATAAAATACATTTGTAAGAAACAGTTTGTATGATGTGTGTGTGAAAATGTCCTAACTAAAAGTTTGTTATTTTTTGGTAGTAATAAGGAAGAGTATCAAGAATTTACGTTTATTCAAATTTGTGTAGTTCAACTAGAAGCAGCTCTTGGGAGTTTTTATGGTCCAAATGAGCCACTTCCAGAAGTCGTAATCTTGGAATATCGGGACCAAGTAGGACATCTTGCTCGTCGATTCTTTCATCATCTTCTCAGGTGAGTTCTTTCTGTGAACTGTAAATATTCTACAAGTCCCAAAGAGGGAGAAAACAGTTACTTTTTTCTTTTCTTATAGTATTTAAGATACAGTCTTAATGTAATCCTCACCCTGTTTTGTATATCAAATTCACCGAAGCTACACATGTGGGGGCATTATAATGTGATGGCCAATCCCACTGTTTGTTGGTAAAAGAGTAGACCAAGAACTGGTGGTGTGTGGTGATGATTAGCTGCCTTCCCTCTAGTCTTTCACTGCTAAATTGGTTAGGGCTAGTGCATATAGCCATCGTGTAGCTTTGTGCAAAATTCAAACCAAAGCTACACATCATGCAATTCATGCTTTGGTTGTGTGATACAATGTGTCAGTGTGATCTCTCACCCTATTTTGTAAATAAAATTTATTCAAGCTATTTAGCAAACTGAAATACCCAAGCTTCTCAACAAGTAACCCTAACTAAAAACCCAAGCCATTGTAATGTCACACAGGTTAAATGATCAAACAACACAGCTGTCACAAGTGTCACCCAAATAGCTCCAAGTTAAAACCATGATGATTGGCTAATTTAATAATTTTGAGTTCAGGCAGTTTTATGAAATTCAGTCCAGAAAATACAAACATAGACTCAATTTTTATAAAATCAGATCAATTTAAAAAGAACTTTTAGCACCTCCACTGGGGGGCTTAGATCAAAGGAATGAATTGCATGGAATCCTGCCTAATTCAGTAAAGTTCACAAGTATGTGAAATACAACTTAATGTTTTCATCATCATTTCTCCAGGTGTTTCATTTCACAAGTATTTGATCCTTTAATTTTTTCCAGTAGTGAATCAGTTCAAAGTTCAGTGAACATGATCTGCCTCTCATCATCTGTAATTACAGTAGTGAATCAGTTCAAAGTTCAGTGAACATGATCTGCCTCTCATCATCTGTAATTACAGTAGTGAATCAGTTCAAAGTTCGGTGAACATGATCTGCCTCTCATCATCTGTAATTACAGTAGTGAATCAGTTCAAAGTTCAGTGAACATGATCAACCTCTCATCATCTGCAATTAAGTGTACAAGTGAAGAATTATCAGTGAAGAAATTTATGAAGTTTTGTTTTTCTTTTTTATAGATATCAGCGTTTTGAGAAAGCTTTTCTATTGGCTGTTGATTTAGACTGTCAAGATTTGTTCTTGGTAAGGTTTAAATTGAAATCTTAGTTACAAATAACTTATTAGTCATTAAGACATTCATAGAATGGAGTGGAAAAAGAAATGTCTTAAATTGTTACTATAAAAAAATATACTAACATTTGCTCATACCAGGTAATTTTAAAAGTTTATGTATCATGGCAAGAAGAGAAACCTGTTAATAAAATAGTATTTATATTCAGAACAAAATGTTTGGTATTCCTTTTTATTTTGCAGTTTCCAAGAAGTTAATTTTTTAAATAATTTCAATGTTTATCTATTAATTCAACAATATATTTTATACCTGATAAATATATATTGTTGCATATTTGATTAATGTTTGTATTTTATGTATAAACATTAGTAATCTTTAAAAGGAATTTTAATATTATTTCTCTACATATTCTTTGTTTCCTACTGCTAATACTACTTTATTGTAGTATTAGAAATTATGATTCATTTCTGACTTCTTTAAAAAACAAGGATCTGATACTTAATATAATCATTTCAAATTATAAAGAAAGTTGTTAAAAGTTGTCTCTTCTTGAAATGAAACCATCAGCTTTGATTTGCAGGTTGAGGTAAAGAAAATTAACCATCACGATGTTCAACTAATAATCACTTCAAAAGTTCTGATATGGTACTTCCGTCCACTCACAAGATCAGGTATTCTCGTCCATTGCTGCCCTTTATATGAAAATTTGTTCTTTACGTACACCATAAAGCATCTGCTTCCCCTATTAGAATCAAATGATTCCAACATGTCTCTCATGTAAATCATCATGCATCACTTCTCCACCAATAGGAGCGTGACATATGTGACTCCTTCTATATGCCTCTACCGAACTATCACTTCTCATTTGGCAGCACTTGTCCTTGGACGTGTTCCTTTTTGTTTGTTTAAAGTCTCATGTTCATCATTCATATACTCATGATCTGTTCTTCATTTATTTTCACTTCTAGTTTCTATTAAGACTGTGGATTAACTTCACTTTAATCCCAGTATATTATAGTCACATTGTTATTTATACTTTCGATTATTGGTTGACTCTTCCTCATTATGAACTCTGAAGTTCATGTTACCACTTCTGGGGTCACACATGCAACTAGCACTGTGTCTCAGGCCTCAGGTGACCTGGCAGGAGATTTATCCACATTTATTCCCCAGGAGATTGAACATTACGTGGGTCAACCTCTGTCTCTGGACCTCACCCCACATCCTCCCGAACTTGGATTGCCTATTTCCACCTCCTGATTTTGCCATGTACCACCTGATGAGTCAGTTAGCCTAATACGGTCTTTTTGCATTTCATTTGTCAGGTATGTAACATTTTATCCCTTTCCACTATTTCCTATGAACCTCATCTTTCCTTACTACATAACAAATCTTCCCATTCCTATTTGGTTTCCCCCCTCCCTAGATATTCGGGTACATGCTGACCAACTTGCCTCACAATTAAGTGATGGGATTAGCATGCCTTGCACTCCCCCACACGTCTTCTGATCAGTTTGCTTTTGCATATCATCATGGAGACTGTCCTTCCCTTCTCTGGACCAACCTATTGTTAGGTTCCATTTTGCCAGTTTGGGATGCAGACCTCAAATCTCCTGTAAGTCTGGCCCATGCCCAATTTTTCCCACCTTTGTCCTACCTTCACAACTCTTTTATGGTATCTCTCTACCATCCTCTGAGGCTCTCTACCAAACTCCTGAGGGATTTTCTGGGGACATCCTCTCCCTTCTTTCCTCCACATTGGCTAATTTATAGTCTTCAGCTCTAGCTTTACATGAGTGATTTCTCTGTTGTTGGTTGTGATGCGACCTTAACTCGCATTTGTTTACAATCATCTTATCTTTGGGTTTTATGTATGACCCCATTTCTGTAGTGATTCATCTTTCACACGATCCTTGAGTCTTTGGAATCCTGAGTAGCATCAGTACAACAACAGTCTATCTTTTGCAACCTTGTTGCCCGTTGGTCTCAGTCGGAGCCCCATATGGCACCTTTTACTGTTTCCCATTCCTCCCCTTCCCTGTTTCTTCTTCTCGGGGTGCCTCATCTCATTGTTTTCTTTGATGACGCTAGTCATGTCACCAACAATATTGATGACTACCCAGTGGGAGCTCGGCTTGCTAATTTTCTTCACCATTGACGTCCGTTTGTCAAGGATCATTGGGTTTTATTGGAAGGATTCATGATTCCTTTTTTCCCCACCTTCACTGTCTCCTATACCCATTTCCTTCCCTCCACCTTGAGATCCCATGACCAGCCAGCATCTGTCAAAGGCAGTTCAGGAACTACTATCTCGGCAGGCCATCAAATCTGTTCTATATCTTTCATCAGGTTTTTATTCCAGCCCCTTTGTTGTCCCCAGGTAAACCAGGGAGGCCTGTCATCAGTTTGTCCTGACTCATTTGCTTCATTTAACTGCCCTGTTTTACCATGAAGTCATTTCTTACCCTATGGTGGGCATTTTCTCTGGCCTTATGGATGACCATATCTCCACATCCCTATATCACCATAAGGTTATCTGTATCTTTGGTTCATCCATCACGGTGTGATTTATCAATTTCATGCCCTACCCTTCAGGTTTGCTTCAGGTGGGCTGGTTAATCAAATTGGATAAGTCCTTCCTCCGAAATACCCAATATCTCGTCTACTCGGTTGTCTTTTTTTGACACTCATCTTGGTAGGGCCCAACCTTCTCCTCTATGACTTCATTACATGGAACTGTTAGTTCACCATGCCCTTTCAGCTCCCTCACTTTCTGCTTGTGAGGTTCTGTCACTTTTTGGGGTGTGGTCTTCAATGACATCACTGGGCCCCCTCGGTCGTGTGCATTTGCAATCCCTTCAGGAGGCTTAGGGTTGTTGGTCTGTAAACAAAAGATCTTTGCATATCAACATCCTTGAGCTTCTTGCTGTCCATCGGGCTTTGAATCACTTCCTTCCTCTCACCAGAAATTGTCTGGTGATGATTCATTACGACAATTCTACATTGGTAGCATATATCATTCACCTAGGGGGCACCAAGTTGAGATCTCTTTGTTATCAAATGTTGGATCTACTATATTGGGCCCACACGAACCACATTCATCTCATTGCGTATCATATTCCAGGTGCTTTCAATCTTCTAGTGGATTGTATTTCCTGCCCCAACCAAATATATCTGATGGAGTGGTCTTTCGATCGCCTCTTTTTCCGGTGGCTTTGCAATCGATGGGGTTTTCCTCATGTAAATGCATTTGCCACATACCTCAATCTCAAGTTACCCCTCTTTTGATTGGCTTATTCCTCCTTGTCTTCTTCCTTTCGGAATTTGTTCCAGGTGACTTCTCGTCAGATTCAACACCTCACCTTTTCTCTCACAACTCATCTTCGTCATCTGTTGGAGTTAATTCTACAGTCAGGCATGTCGACTACACCTAATACGTTTGCTGTTTCTTCTTTGTCAGATTTTCGTTTTCCACCTGTGGCCATTCTTCAAGCTTCAGTGTGACTTTAACTGGGTAAGTTTATATTCATACTTTTCTTTTCCTTTCAGGGTCCCTTGCTTCATTTACTCATTATATGGATCCTGTTCTGTGGCGAGTGGTGCCTGACCATGTATTCTTCAACTTGAAATTCGCACTGTATAGCCAGGTTGACTCACGTTTTATCTTCCATGGCTTTGCAATACTCACTGTTCAGATGGGGTGAATAACTTCACAATGTAATTGCTTCATAAACTTGCCTGTTTCGGACCATACCACTCATGGACTGCATGGGTAAAGCAGAAGGGGATAGCTCCCCTTCCCTGCTTTGTATTGAATAAAGTGGTATGGTCTGCTTTTCAAAATAGGGTTTCATAGTCACCCATTACACTGTGTCAGTTAATGATGTTTTTCTGGACTCTCCACCGCATTCTTAGCCCACTTTCTTCTAGTGGAGTATGGGAGTCCTTACCACTTTCCAGTTCCAAGCCACTGGCATGCTCAACTGTGGAGTCATCTTTCTGAATGGGTTCCACACAAAGATGGCAATAAACATTCAGTGCAGAGTAGTGTGGTGGTGTTTTGTGGGTGTAGATGGCGTGCTATCCTCGAATATGAAATATACTCTCAAAAAGGAGTGAGACATCAGTTGCAGTTTACCCGTTCGATTGGGAGCCCTCATCCTACCTCCATGTGGATGTCGGTACCCTGTGGCTGTGTTTTGGATTTAGAGTAGAACCAATCAATGAGTCCTCTCACACTTTTCTGGTTGTCTATCTTCCTCCCTCGATCATACTCCTTCTGTATTGTGGGTCACAGTGGAGGTAAGGGGGATTGTTCCAGTTCTGTCCTTTTCACTATCCCTTGTGGTATCTTATTCCAAGGACGTTATTGCTTTTTGGATGGTTCTTGTCAGTTTTGCCACTGGGGGAATTGAATTATATTATATAAACATTCGTTCAGTACTGGATGTTGGGTCCCCAGATTGATAGATAAAAGCTAACACGTGTATCATTTTTAGGAGTCGGAATGGTTCTAGATTTCCCCCAGTCTCTTGAACTGGAAGTGAAGACGGTATGATTCTCATCCTACCTCCGCATGGATGTTGGTTCCCAGTGGCATGGGTTTAGGATGTACGGTACATCTCGCCCTAACCACACTACACCTAGGAACACATCCATTGCTTTACCCACTTTTATAGTTTGTGTGATTAAGTTGCATATATATTTACATGGTTAGGATCACATGTCCTGCCACAGTTCTTTCCCACTTGGATGTGCTCCTCTCTTTTTCTGCCCTTACCTACTACACATTTTCATGAATAGCAAAGAGTATATCTGGTTCAGAAGTGGTGCGGTTCCCATCACCAGATCTTGGCATGTGTAAAGAAATAATTTGCATATAGGGGGCAGCACTGGACAAGAGTATATAATTTTGTGAGCGGAGGGAGGTACCTTTTGGAAATACATTTTCAGTATAGGAAAATTATAACATTCATATATTCACAAGGAAAGAATTGATATTTTCCTGCATTCTTTCTCCACTACAAACAATTGTGGCAAACAAAATTTTTCTATAAATATTTATTACTCTAATTTTGAAAAAAAAAAAAAAAATTTGATTCTTCTTACTCTCTTACGTAGGATTTGCATTATGTTGCTGAGATGAAGGGAGAAATGGCTCTAGCTGAGGTAGCACTTCAACATGCAGACCACTTGGATGTTGCATCTGTCCTTACTGGAAGTGGTAAGGTTTTTTCTTTCTATTATGTTATCGTAGCTAGTGAACCAGTTCTTACTAGAAATGATAATGTTCCTTGCTGTAATGTTCATCTGGATACAAAATCTGTACCTAATGTATGTATTAACGTTTGTTTCATTTTGTGGTTCTCAGTTTTCTATTTGATCTATGCATGTTTTAAAGAAAATTTGTGTAATGAATGTATTTAATTTGCAACCTTATAATTCTAAATATAAAATTATGTTTTTTTTTATATACTGTAATTAACTGAGTTGTTCTCAATGAAAACTATTAATGGTCATTTAATTACATTTGGATTTGCTCTGTTTATTAGACACTGGAGAATCTGTCAGCTGTGATGATGAAACGACAGAATTTTCAGATTGCAGCTCCTCAGATTGTCAAGATGACAGAAATAACAACCAACATTCTACACTAGAGGTTATTCAAGCACATTCAAAAAACCCTTGTCACTCACCCCCTCAGTCATCTTACATAGGTTCGTCAATACAGGCAACTCCATCTGAGCTCTGCTCACCAGTATCCACAACCCAAAGAAATCCTGGCCTCTTTGTTTCACCACAAGCCTTACCACATCAGGACCTACAAGCACCAACAAGTACAGCACAAGAAAGTCTGGAATCTTCTACTTCAACAAGAAACTTCACTAAACACACAAAGCAATCACTAACTATGGAGAACAAAAACCATGGTACATCAGTACCTACAGTCCCAGCAGGCTCTGGACTTTTCAGTCCAACAAGAACTTTAACTCAACAAGCCACACAACCTCCAGTATCCAGAGCCCCAGTAGGCTCTGGACTTTTCAGTACAACAAGAACTTTAACTCAACAAGCCTCACAATCTCCAGTATCCAGAGCCCCAGCAGACTCTGGACCTTTAACTGAACAAGCCCTGCAATCTCCAGTATCCAGAGCCCCAGCAGACTCTGGACCTTTAACTGAACAAGCCCTGCAATCTCCAATATCCAGAGCCCCAGCAGACTCGGGACCTTTCAGCCCAACAAAGACTTTAATACAACAGGCCTCACAATCTTCAGTATCCAGAGCTCCAGCAGACTCTGAACCTTTAAGTCCTACAAGAACTAAACAAGTACAACAATCGCTTGTATATACAGCTTCGACAGGTTCCGATATTTTCAGTCCAGTGAAGAACTTAGCTCAACAGTTTTCAACATCATCAGTACCAACAGGTCTCGAACCTTTTGTCCCAGTACGGACTGTAATGCAGTATCCAGTACAGTTTAAAAATGCAGTTACTTATAAACCTACGGGAATAACAGAACATCCACAGTTGCCACTAACAGTGAACCCAACACAAATACGTCTTGCATCTTCTGTTACAACAAAGACTGTGTTGCCACAAACCCATCATTTGTTTGCTTCATCACTTATAGAACACAGTGGTAATAATAAGAGTTTTGGACTTCACCAAACAACAATCTCTGGTCAAGTAGGATGTTCTAACGTTCCTGTGCATACTGAAGCTCTTACTTCTCTCCAACAACCACGACCTTACATAAATTCCAGGAGTACTCAGGTTCTTCTACAGCCTCCACATCCAACTATTTCCCACAATGTAGCTAATAGCTCATGGATTGGCTTCCAGAACAACATGAATGTTAGGCAAGGTCAGCCTAGTCATGGTCATTTCAATAGGACACCTGTACAAGGAGAAACAAGGTCTCAACCATTATATAGAGGCACAGCCACTGGTCAGATACTAATGAGGAGCCCATGGACACCATCTCCAGTGAGTTCTATTTTCTTATACTGTACACTGAAATATAATGTTTCACTATCAATAGTGCAGCCATTCATCACTGTAACAAAGTGAATGAAGTTCAACAACTTTAGCAAGCAGTTCAAAACACTTTGAAAGTCGAGCATGGCATTTAACTTTAAATGTAAAACCCAGTTTTTCAATAAGATTAAAACTTTTGCTGGACAGTTATTAAGAAACATATAAATTGTGTACTGTTATAAACAAAATTATTGTCTTGAACTCTGAAAAAATAATAACGTTGGTTACAATTGAAAGAATGCTTATGAGTCAAAGTTTGTTTTTCCTAATGGAATGTAAAATTTTCTTGTATGATTTTTTTTTATAGCAACACTACTTAACACCAGGTGGTCAACATTCCTTTGGTGCTTACCAGTGGCCACAGTGCTACAGCAGTGGTTTTACACCAGCAAGATCAGTATCAGTTGGACCTTCTGGGCACTATCCTCAATCTTTTTATCACCCAGTGTGGCAGGATAGACAGCCACTGGTACACACTGGTCAAAACTGTGGTGCATTTGAAGGATTGTCAAAGCTAGGTAATCAGCAGTCTCATTTACCAGGCTACAGCTACACTTCTGATCCAAATGAACACTTTGTTGACAGGTAAGGTTGTTAGAAATCAATGAAAGACTACAGTTGTGTAGATGTTAACAAGTTACCTAAAGTTGTTCTTGGGTTAAAGAAATTATTTAAAAAATAATAATAGGTTGAACAATTCCCAAGTTTTTCGAGCTGGCACTCATCGTCAGATTGTACAGTTACAGCACTAGCTCAAAACATCATCCTTCTTTTGATAAAGAAATATACACCTGGAAAAAAGTTAAGCACCCCCGTGTTTTTTTCAAGTGATTCAGATTCGACGTTCTTGTGACTGATTATAAATTAC